ACCTCATATTGAACTTCTTTTTCAGTCTCAACATGTAGTTCCATGCCTTCTGCACTAATTTCTGTAATAAAACAAACCAACGAAACTTACTGATTTTGGACTAGTACTGTTTTTTCTATTCACCTATTCAATCTCTTTCTTTGTGTGTTCCCTTTTAACATAACACTTAGGACATTCCTCTTGAAACTGCAAACTAAATCCAAGAAATGAAATAGGATGAAGGCATTCCTGCCCTCTCCCTATTTTCTTCGAGTTGTCATCTCTGGTTGGAAGGAGAGCAGGACGCATATTGTATGCTATGCGCTTGTGAGTGCCGGCCAACTCAGAGACGTTGGGATACCTGTCACGGTGATGTGAAGGAAGTGCGTTAGCAACAACGAACACACACATTTAAGAGCAAAAAACAAATTTAATAGACTTAATAAAGAATTTATAAGAATTTAGAAAAAAGTTTTCTTGACAAAATATCACCTGAATTACAATTGACAAATATTTTACACTACGCTACAAAATGGCACTAGCGCGGCCACGCAAATTAATTATTACGATTAGCAATCATGGAATCGTTTTTTAGTGAATAATCGAAAGTCTATCTCTGATTCTAAGCTCTATCTGTCCAAATAATAACCCTGGCTCAGTTTAAAGAGAACGTCACCCAGCTGTTTGAAAAAGGGCGTCCTTTGCAAGTCAACGACTGAGGTCTCGGGCGGGTGGGGGCACCAGTTACCGGGCAGCGGGTCAGGTCGGATCTCTTTCAGAGACGTCCTTCCCGGGTGTAGTGCAGCGATCGAGTGCGGTTCATCACACTTGTTTCGCCAAATTACGCACTCGTCATTAGCCAGGCCTTCATGAGTGCCACAGGTTACAATTCTCGGAACCTTGGTGTTATTCTAAATCATCAACTTATGCAACGGAAATTGTGGCAAAATTGCCGATAAATAATTCAATGAAATAAACTCGCATGAATGTCTGTCATCCTGGCGGTAGAGCTCTACGCATGGCTATGCAACCCTGGCAGAAAGCGAGGTATTAATCTAATTAGAAATCGCAAGGGCGTTAACGAGCCCGGCAACCTAACACGCGTGCGATCTCCGCCGAAGTAGAATTGCAAGTATGTGTAATAAAAGTTTCACGGAAGCGACTCGTGCAATTCGCGTGAGACTTCCGCCGAAGCAGGAATTCCCTAAGCTCTTCTTGTCGAAGCGGCGATTCCCTCCCTCTAACTTTAATCTCATGTTACTGCCCTCTCATGTTTTCTGTCCCCGTCCTTCTTCGCCAACACTTTCATGCTCCTCCACAAACTGGGCTACCTAACAATCCAAATTGGAAAGTCTGTTACCTCCCATAAGGATTTTTCAATCTGTGCCTGAAACTGATATTGCAGTTTCTTGTATTACAAACTTCATATTTAAGGCGGTTCTCTAGGCCACCCAAACGCGCCCTTTGCTTCCCTCAAAGTGATCAAAACCTCCTCTTTCTAAAGTGGCGGATACCTACAAAACATAATTAAAGAACATAATCATGAGACGTTCGAATGGACACAGGCTATTACACCTAAAGAGTGAATTGAACTGACTTATTCGTGTCTGTAGACTGTCACTACAAGACTACAATTTCGAACAAATTAAAAAATGTGTGCCTCCCTTTCGTTCCATAACTGCTCCGTTTGTTTTGTTACGAGGAAAAGACTACGCAACAAGACAACCGTCCTTAATTGTCAAATGGGCAGAAAGTTTTCTCTCAAAACGACTAAGTAGAACTCCTGGGTCATTTCTATGCCACACCCTTCCAACCTCATAATGTTGAAGATCCTCCACATTCCCAACTCATTAGTCGCATTACCCAACTTCGATGTTTTTAGACGAATTGAATTTATAACCAACATTGTATATAATATTAAAAAAAATTACTTAAAAGAAAAACCTCCGGTCACAAAAATAGATCACCTATTATTCTAAAACACATTCTTCGTGGTGCTGTTGCCTTCATAACTAACATAATATATTTGTCATGACAAAGAAACGTGTGGACACGCATTGGCATCATCTCTTCATTTTCATTGGTGCACAGAGGCACCATCTCGGAGCTGAGCCTTGACTCTCCACTTTATTACAACGGTGATGCTAGTTTGTTTTCCAACCTGACGCAACTTGGTTAACGCAACTACAGTTTAATTTTAGTTCAAATAACACCATGAAACGAATCGGATGGTTCAGTGTTTTTCTATACCTCTAGCCATCCAATAACAATCAAGAATACAATATTCTACGTTCAGATTAGGTTACTTCCTCTAATTATGGAATCAATCTAGAGAAGTCCCAATTCCTAAACCCCACAAAATTCATATCTTACCTTCCCGATACCATCCCATATTCTGCTCCTATCCTTGCCAAAATGGCAGAAAAAGTCATTCTTAAGAGGCTCAACTCATTCCTAAAAAGTCCAAGATAATTCCTTATCATAAATTCGGTTTTATTCCTAAACATTCTTCTTGCCATCAACTCCTGAGAATAACAGAATTCATTCATTTCGGCTTTCAAAAAGAGCATCCCACCATAGCAGCCTTTCTCGTTTTTAGCCAAACACTCGGCCGAATTTGACATAATAGACTAACCTCTAAGTTACGAAAGCTCGGTATCCCACTCTATCTCTTTTGAATTTCTTATCAGATGGTTCATTCTCATTCAAAATTCAGACACGCTTTTCCAACCCTCATCCGATCTTAGCGGGTGTTTCCCAAGGCCCCCTTCTCTCCCAACTTTCTTCAACAAATCCACATCTCGATTTATAAATACAGCACAATTTTCAGATGACACATCTCTCTTTTTGATCTCGAACTAAACGCACTTGTAGTTCATCGGCTTCAGGGCCGGATTTACCTACAAGCAAAACAAGCAGTTGCTTGGGGGCCCCCGTTCTGCAGTGAAGAGCAGAAAAAAAATTATGTAAAATGTATTTAATGTAAAAAAATGTAACAAGTAAAAATTTCTATAACAAATTATCAGTTTTCATTTGTATCTGTACAGAAAGTACTTGTACTATAATACATTTTTTATTTAATAAAGATGGAGCTATTTTTTCGGGGGGGGGGGGGCAACACAATTTTGTGCTTGGGGCCCCGCACTACTTAAATCCGGCCCTGATCGGCTTCCCAGACACATCAAATCGAACACTGAACTACCAAATGGAAAATCATACTCAATCCCTCAAAATCAGTCGCAAAAATGTTCGTTCTCTGACATCCTTCCCATCCCCATCCACTACTGCTAAATAACTCTTCATTCCGTGGTCCCCATTCACTTCACCAGTCGAATACCTGGGTCTCTATGTAGACACAAAACCAACCTAGAAAGATCATATAGAAACCGAAGTGAAACAACCCCACCATAAACTTCATCAACTTCGCCCCATTATAAACCGTAAAAGTAGCCTCAGCCCCGAAAATACATTGCTATACAAATCCCTTCTCCGACCACTCCTCCTTTACCCATGTCCGATCTGGTGATTTCAACTTAAAACCAATAAAAGAGCAAATATTTTACACATCCCACAATTGCTTCTTCCACTACCTAACATAATCCGATCTTCTACAACCTCGGTGTAGATAACCCTCCCTTCCCGAGAAAAAACAAAAAAACAGATACTTCATTTCTTTTTAAATTGCTTCTATACCTTCGATTAATAAGACATAACTTCAGCAACTCATAGCATCTCCTTGCGATACTCTGGCGGTGCTCGATGAGTTTCCCCCTCTTTACTTTTTAAGCTTAGAATAAGTCAACGAACTGTAAGGCCGATTTTTCGAAGATTAAGTTCAAAATTTTTCTCGACATCTTCTTACAACCACAAAATTGAAAATAGAGCTTTTTCCTAAATGAAATTTTTTTAAAAGACGGATATTGAAATAAAATCATGTACAATTTTTTTAAAAAGTAGTTTTCGCGTAATTTCTGCTTTAAGCTAATGTAATTTATACAAAAAAAAATTCTCAAAAAAAAGCAACAACTCATTCCCCCCCCGGATAGAATAAGGGACGCTTAAATAATGGCGCAGATCTCATTTTCGTTGACCTCTCAGAATTGAAAGTCAGAAATAGACCGTGACGGTATGTGCTGTTATCACGTTTTACTTTATCGCTTTACTTCGTAAGAAGAGAAAGAATCATAATCTTGCGCCGAAGAACAGCGTTTTTTCTGCTAAAAGAACTTATTACCTCAGCGCGGATCCAAGAGGAGAGAAATAAGGGAAATCCCCCTCCCCCTAAAATGTTTCAGTAACTATTAATTTTAACTTGTCAGGAAACCTTGAAACAAAATATTTTTGGATAATCATTAAAAAATTGTATACCAGGATGAGATGAGTGTAGTCTGGGGCATTTTACTAAATCTGTAATATGACTCATTCGACAACAATATTTTGAATTTCCCCTCCCAAAATCCGCCTCTGTATTACCGGATCCTGGCAACGAAAAAAGTGAATAAATATTGTTCCTGTACTATGTAGTAAATTACCTTCTCTAACACGTTGTGCAGTCAGACGCCAATGCAAATGTACAAATGCCGATTTAGCAATGCAAAAAATTCAAATCTGCAGTTCGCTTAGATGCAAATACGTTTTCTATAACTCGGGCGAAAATGTCCAGTTTCTCAAATGTTGCGAATCTTACACATTTTAATTCTTTAAACTTTTACTCATCTTTCAACTATTTATAGCTGAAATGTTGGGAAGGGATTTTGGAGCTCAAGAAAACGTACGCAGATGAGATTTCTCCCACAGAAGTCAGACATATACTAGTTTTATTTCTTGGCACGTGTGGGCCCCATTTTCACAATGGAATATCTTACGTAATTTGAACCCTCTGAGAATACCTCTTTGATCATTCTATTAAATTTATGTTCATATATTTAGGTCTTTTTGGGTACCTCCTCTCTGTGGCATGGGTGTTCAGAATCTGTGTACACTTAAAATTGAAGGAAAGGATAAAAATAATCTTTCAACAATAAAATTAAAGTGAGTTTTATTTTTAAATACAATCCCACAAGTGCAGAGAAATTGGTTTGGGTTTATATGAAAATTTCCCATGCATTTAGTAAGATTATTTTATGTATAATAAAATTACAAATAATCATTTAAGCAGTATATTAAAACATATCAATTTCAATAAAATTATCATAGGTCCATTGGATATGCCACAGTGACAGAACTGCATGGGTAACATGCCTCAAATTGCACGAGTGATCAAATTCAATTTCATGCATTGTCATAAGAGTAATTAAATATCACGCTTAGCAATATTACAATATTTATACACGCACAGAACCAGATCCGTAATGTTGAAAAGCAGTTAAGAGGTTGCCCATTAGAAGTTAAGTTCCAGCTTTTTATACTTTTAAAACAATGATTTTAACACATTGGAGAATTTTCACATGGTTCCAGTTAACATTAATGCTACTTTTTCATTGAATTATTCCCTCTTCCTTTTCCAAGCTGTATAAAGTCCTGTAATTAACAGATAACCGTATGTTAAAATTTACTTTAACTATGATTACTGCACATGCATTTGGAAAATTTATTTTAATTAAAAAAAAAACACAAGGTGATGGGGAAAAAGGTGACCACTGGTTTTATTTTGGGTGTAGGGCTTTATTAAAATAAGAAGTTACAGTATTAAAGAGTTACTTCATGACAGAAAATCACAACACCAAATTCTTTTTTCTCTGTACAAATTACTAAGTCATAACCAATCTTCTGCAGAAATGTACTAGTACATTTCATGTAAATCTACAACAACATGATTTCAAAAGATTTCAGAGGCTTATTCAGATGTTCGAAGAAAGGATCCTACACCCGTTATTTTCTATACTTTTTTTTTTACAGCAAAGTTCATTTTCTCTGGAAACCTCTGGGGAAGGGGGAAGCTTCATTTTATTCTGAAGAATGCTTTCTTGGCAATTATTCTAAACAACCTTGAATCATCAGCATTCATTTTCCTGAGTTTTCTTACACAATCTCAGTACTTTCCTCACCTACACTTGCATATGTTCATACACTCTTGAAAACAGTACCAAAAACTAAAAGCTATATGTTTTTTAAGTACATCAATGGGGTTGATAATTACTTTCACCCCCAACTGTCGAAACATCAACTCACTGATTTATGCATGGTGTACAGAAAAACTATACATTGCATTTCAAATGGCAGCCAATTCTTTCATTCTCTGAGGTGGTACATTTTGATCTGACAGTTGTGAAGAAAAGAAACCATCCTACAAACTACTCTCACAATCACCATTATATCACTAAATGTTTATATGGTAATGCAAGCATAATTAAGAATAAGTCAAAGATATCCTATATAACAAAACATAACTATAACATACAAGCCATGTATACATATGCAAATATGGAATGTCAATAAAACAAATTTAAAATGTTTAGTTATTCTATACCATAAACATATGGCATGAACATTTTCCAACAAAGCAGCTTTCAGCTATCTAAGCTGGAAATGCTTCAAATTCCGTTTTAACTGGCACCACTTTTAATATAAAATATACAATTTTAAGTAGCATCATTATCCCTTTTCTCCTTTTAACCTTCTCAAAGAATGTAACAGTCATGTCATTGTCTATGTCAATAAATATATCTGTACGTTTTGAGCATTCCCAACCTAGTCTACTGAAGAACAGGTAATTTTATCCACAAGCCATAGTAAATACACAGAGGTTATGCATAAAGAATTAATGTGTCTTCCCAGGTGAACATTACACACTAACATGATTCTACTTTTTTTTTTTTTAAAGATTTCATTGAAGTTATTTAATTGTGTGTTATCAATGTGCACAGTTTGTTAGTATTATATATGCATATTATATAACTTTTAAATTCCTAAGCGTATTATGAACTTCTGGTAAGCCTAAAGAATACTAACTAAAACGGGAACTGGTTTTAAAGCAACCTATTTTCTCAAATAGCACTGTACAACCACATTTGAAATATATCCTGTCCCTTCCCCACAATAAGCACCTTGCACTTTTGCATTAGCTTCTTATCTTTAATTAAAAGTAACAGAGTCTTACACGTATCATTAAAGATAACATGGAATTGTTTGATGAAATTGAAAATGCAGACTAAGTACAGTCTTATTTTCATAGTGTATTAAATAGTAATGAAAAAGAAAAATATACTTTTCACAACAATACACATATATCAACAGAAAATGTGCTTTTAAAACTTCAACACAATATTTTAAACAAATTCAACCTTCAAACAAGATCTGAAGCAGCTTCCATATGTACATTTAATACCCTTAACTAACACAATAATCAAAAGGAATAGCACTTGATGCAGTGCTAATACAACACATTGCTCAGACAACTACCATTAGTCAATTAACTACCACCAGTGTATTCTTCACAACATAGCCAAAATACAGTATGTACATATTGCTTTATAAAGACATGTGAAATTATCTTTTCAGTTGGACACATGGAAACTTGCACGTACATGATATGCATAATATTTATTCTGTTTGCAATCACAATGAATTTTATGAACGGTGAAGAAATGCAACTATATACATAAAAATAATCCAAAATATTAATAGATTTTCCATTTAATAATGATTGAATATACAATATTATTGTTTTGCCACAAAAAAGACAATATAATACTAGAACTGCTAAAGAAATGAACATAGAAATTTTTAAAAAATCTCCAACAGATAAATGAAGATAAGAGGAATACAAATGCATACTGTAATGAGGGGTATTATAAAAATATTTTTTTAAAAAAGGAAAGACTCAGCAAAAATTACTTACTAAACACAAGAAATAGACACTGGCACAGGTTGTTCAAACTATAATGTGGTCTCAATTTATTAGTTTACCCATAAAATTCACATTAAGTTCCACTTTCAATTAACACTGGAGAATTAAACAAAAATGATGAATTGCTTTGTATAGTCTAGTTGAACAAAAGAATAAAAAGGGAATAAACTGATCCTAAAAATATATGAATGCTGTCTAAGATAATTCAATACTTTCCCTTAATCAGGTAAGACAAAAATGGAAATAAACTATCCTGAAAAAATTTATCATCCAGGCTTGAATGTAAGACTGCAGAGAAATAAATATTCATACTTTTGATAAGATTATTTTTGTTTTAAAGGATTAATTTTTATTTATTCAGGTTACTTATACAGAAATTAGAAGGAAAATTTTATATAAATACTAGTGATGTGTAGAAGTTTCTCAAAAACAAAGTTAAGAAAAATCTAATATTATAAATGATTAATTGCATTAATATCTTGTGCTCAGTGTCCTTTTAGACTGGTAAAGGAGAAAAAAGGCTGTAAATGGAAAATTAATGGGTTCTATTAGGTTACACTTCTATGGCCAATCAAATGACCCAATGATACTCTGGTTACACACAATTATATTAATACTGCTCATAGCTTTTATTCACTTCGATAGCATTTTGAATATAAATGGAAATGGACAATGGATGTGTTAACATCCATTATCAGTCAAAACTGAATCAAAATACAATATTTATTAACAAGGAAATACTGGCTGCACATTACATGTAAGCATCCCATTCAAAAGTAATTACACTGAATACAGATCTCTAAAATTTTAAAGCTATAAGACACCCACTCCATATTCTAGGTTGCCAACAATCTAATATTCTGTACATGGTACACCACAGTTATAATGAACATGAGATAGAGAAGTTACATTTTTATATAACATTAAGGATATATGCATTTACCTGTGTTAACAAAGTGTTAAATCTAATTGCAAAACCAAAATAAAACCAGTTAAAGAACCAAAATGTGGGTGATTAACAACTAAAAAGATTTGCAATAGTGTATGAAAATCACTGCATGCACATGAAGGCCTCTTCTGGTTCTCCATTTTATATCTGAAGATGCTTTCACACACAAGTACCTAACGATTGTTCTATCCATCCATAGCAGAAGGGAAATTCTCTGGGTAAATTCTCAAGGGCGAAAGAAAATCTGCCTGTGGCACATTAAACCTAAAAATCCCCTTTTAGATCTTTTGTTTTACATGTAAATCCAAATAGAAGTATCTAAGCTTAACAAAAGATCAACTACACCTAAAAATAGATGCACTATATTAAAGAAGTGGTCCCATGCATTGTTATTTCTTCTTGATCCAATATATAGATAAAAACATGGACAAAATTAGCTCATACCTTGTAACATTCTGATAAGAGACTAGAATACTCTATTATCAGAAATATTTGTTGTTTTTTTGTGTAGATAAAAGTAATTAACTGTAATGCACGACAACAAATTTATATTGCTTTTGTGATACTTTACGAATCAAGTTTAGAGGAAATAAGATAATGGGAAGCCCCAGGAATGCTACAACAACATCAAAGTAGAAATGAATGGTCACATTGAGATCATTGCATTCTACAATGTGAAAATTTCAATGGAAAGTGACAAGATGTGTGGCATTACCATGTAGCAAACAAGTGAAAGCTTGACCAGAGCCCCAATACCTGCCTATTTAAATTTTATGAGTTGGAATGTTTATGCTGTCACTATTTACCTAGAGGCCATTTTCCACCCGTTTCTTGGTGCTTAACATCAACCACAATACTTAATGTACACTTTAACTTCATCGTGCTATGATAGCATCTTAATCCTTTTGTTAGTTTCCCCCCCCTTAATACAATTATATATAAAAGTAGCTGTTACTATAACTAAAATCTGTTTTGTAAATAGCTTAAAACAAATACTATATGGCACAAACTACAAAAGAAAGAAAAAATTAATGTATTATTTCGTAGACTTTTATGTCATCTAAATGTATATTTAACTAATACACTCATGTGCTGAAGCATAAATGTAATAGAAATCACCTGCACCGTATAAAACAAAAATGAAATTAAAATTTATAGATTAAATTAGGTTCATGTGTAAGAAAATAATTAGTCTTTTAAGCAAATATAAGAATATATCATTATTATTAATATTACTACTGATATAGTAAAAAATGAAATTAATTTCAGTAAGTTATTAAAATAATTGGACGCTTCATATGGCACTAATGGGCATTTACTAACAACAGAATACCCTCCAAATGTACAATACAAAATATAATTTACAACAGAAAATATTTTGGGCTATAATAGGTACTTCATGTACATGAAGCTGCCTGTACTTAAATTTTAACTGCCTTTTGTGCACAATGTATCAGTCGTTAATTCGAGAAATCAATCAGTATCACAAAAATTAGAGAATCATACTAAATGTAATACTGTACATGAAAAATGATGTCCTAATTCACAAAGCTGCACTTCATCTGTTTATATGAAAATGTAATGCACACTAACTTATAAAATAGGTTGAATAATTTTCTCACTGGTCATTCGCACTAAAAGAAAAGCCAACAGTGCCATCAACAATAAATGAAGTTCAAGGACTTATCCATTGGAATGACATGCACAAGGATATATTATTTATATTTGCTGCAGTCTTGCAAGAAATGCAGTTTGTATATCATGTATGTGGAAGCATTCACACATACAGTTATAATGCACACAGTACAGGATTTCTCACTTTGCAATATTCACAAAGAAAAAAATTACACGATATCTAATGGACAAATAGCAAAGTCAAAATAAATCAAAACTGGACCAACAGAGGGCCATACAATTTGATATTTCAAGGATGTACATAGGGGTTCACTCTTCATTCATCTTGCAATGCAGTGTAGTCCCCACATAAAGAGTAGCACTTTGTCAAACTTGAAGTCTGCGAATACCAGGTCTTCTCCAACTTATTTAAATGAAAATACACAACACACATTGAATACTTCTACGCCTCAATAACGGAAAAATCTACAGATCTCAAAAAGTTGTGCTGCGATGTCAACCAAATAGTATGATATGTACTTCATAGTGAAAGGGACGAAATATTACTATCATGGTTTTGAGATACACTGGATAATAATGAAAGGTGTATTTCTGATACACCTATTCAGGTCTGCGAAAGTCCACAGTACAATGAATGAATCTCTTCGCTTACTGTTAGTAGTCATATTCCCACAGATAGTTCTGGCAGAATACAACATGACATTTTTGAGACTAGATTTTATGACAGTGGCCAAAATTCAAAATTCTCATGCCTCTCTTCTTGTATTACCTGGTAGTAACGGATGACTTTCAGGGATACTGCTTGTCACACAACAGATTCCTGTCACTTCCGTAGAACGATGTATCTACACAAGTAAACAGAAAAATAAACAAAACATGTATGAAGTAAGGAAGAATATGTATACAAACATACACCAACACACATTTATGTATACATGTATACATAAGTATATAAATTTACATTTCTAGGATCCAGCAAATTAAAATAAACTAACCTCCAAAACAGCAGTTTGTTCAATTTCATGTAATAAATTTTCTCAATATGCGCTTGTAACCAAAGGGCAAGTACACAGCGTTATGAAATAAACTATACAAAGACCAAGCAAACCTTACAAATCTACAATTTACAAAGTACATGAAATTTTCAGTATTCTGTGTATAGTATCAAAACAAATCAAAAATCACCAACTGTAAAATACACAATAATCTGCATCTGCCTAAAAACTAGATGCGAAAGCTACTTACAAATATACACATTTACCATAAACAAAATTTCTAACCTACTGGATTATCAGTGACAATATTACAGTTGAAGTTCTAAATGGCAAGTGTTGAGTTGTCCCACTCAAGATTCTTTCCACCATCTCCTCCTTCCTCCTCTTCTTCATCAGATGAATCCAAATCATCATCTCGATAACTTGAACCATCATCAGAAGAATCATCTTCATCACAGCCTACATTGTTTCCACCATTGTTTCCAGGCCGAGATGGTTGAGTAGACCCATCCAATTGCTGAAAAGAAATGAAAACCTAAATCCAATGCAATGTTTAACTGAAAAAATTCATGGAGTCATGGAGTTATAAATGTACTTTGGAATTTAAGCTACCACATATATATTCAGAAGAAGTTTCTGCTACCATAATAATGTGATAAATCCTTGTTCATTTGAGTGACTACCAAGCTTGATTCTACATCTGAGGGGAAGTAAGGGTTATCAGGACTATTTGCAGAGGAATTAAAAGTTGTTAACTGCTAATATCCTACTTTCCATTTACTGAGAAAATGTCTTTAATTAAATGTTTTCAGAAATCCTGATACAAGAAGAAATGCCATTAATATATGGCCTAATTTTTAAATTATATGATAATATTGCTGCTGCTGCTGCTGCTGCTGCTGCTGCTACTACTACTACTACTACTACTACTACTACTACTACTACTACTACTACTACTACTACTACTACTACAATATCTGAAAATAATTAAATAAAGCTATGCTTCAATCAATAAAAATAATTACTTTGGCATTTAACACCTTTAGAATATTAATCTCTAATTGTCTTCTCAGTAGCTACAGGTCATCCTAGAAATAAGTTACTCTATTCTTGGCTTACTTAATAAGGTAAACAGGACTGCCTCCCCTTTTTCTTAGATATGATAGTATCAGCTGATGAAGATATGAATTGTTGCCTGACTGTAAGACAAGATTTTCCTTGGCAAAAATGCATTTCAAAGAAATACAGTGAAACTCCTTTATACACTTATACGTTTCACACTTACAGAAAACAACATATAAACATGAAAAACATGTAAGTCCCACAAAAATTCCTATACTTCCCATGATAAACTATTTCAGATATGCGTTTTACATTTATACGTCTTGCCTCGCTTATTCATTCATAATGAAGGTCCCTTTAACACCGCGTAATGTCCAAAACGACATTTGTCACCAACAAGTGGGAATCATTACGTCATTGTTAAGGAACCAACGGAATTTTTGTAATGAATTCAGTATTCAGGTTATTTAATTTTGCCACTAAGCAAGGCGGTTTCATTTGGATTCAAGTCTCCATTTTGGAATTTTGGGCAAAACTACAGGATGAAGAAACAGTGTTGTCCTGTGCAGAGTTGCATGTTTACCAATATTTCATGATAAAATTAGGTGCATTGGAAGGAAATATTGCAACTCTAGGGAATCGAAGATTTATTTTGACTGTCACACGAGCGTTGCTCTGAACATGTGTCACCTAATGCTGATAATGTCAGCAGTGTACAAGAGTAACAGTAACGTCATGCATACAAGAGTTGCGTAATGCGCATCGTAGGTTAACATTGTATATTATGCAAAAGGGCACATGAGCACTCTTGACAACGTGCATTGCCAAGCGGTCATTGCATGTTGAAAGCTAGAAAACACATGTTATCCTGACTTATGTTGTAGCTTGAGCTGTGGGCACAATGCATGTCAACAAGACCACTCACGTGCCTTTTACTAACTCATTTTATATTGACTAAATAATTCTGATCAAGTTCTTTGGTTATGATACAACTTATTTTTTGAGCTGAATCTAAGAGTTCAGTTATAGGTTTCAATCAACTAGAACAGGTGGGTGGTCTACATGCCAGAAGATCATTTCAGCGCTAGCTAGCTTGATAACAAGAATGATCCACATATCACTTTTTAAATAAAATCTTATTAGAGATGAAAGATTCAAATTGATGATGCATTTCTCGTAAATGTTCAAATTTTCTTCAATAACTTGCCTGATAATACATTGAAAGAAAATTTTCTTCAGATCAATTCTTCTGAGAGCATTTGGATTAGATTCTCCAACACATTCTTTTGGACCTCTACCCACTCCAGAATAAGATCTGACAAGAAGGGTTGAAAAATGAGAGAGAAAAAGAGAGAGAGAGAGAGAGAGTAAAAGAAAGAAAGAGAAAAAGAGAGAGAGAGTAAAAGAAAGAAAGAGAAAAAGAGAGAGAGAGTAAAAGAATTGAATTTGCCTTATTTTACGTGGCGAGACTCTGGCCATTAGGCCCGCTCTTCCGTCTGACCACGCAAATTTCGCTACGCTCCTTTCACCAACTACCAGAGAAAGAAGGTATTTCTTGGGCGAGAAACAGGCGATTTTGAATTTAACTCAGAGGCGTCATTTAGGCTTGAGGATCTTTTACATGCAAGTAAATCTACTAACATGGGACAGCCGGCTACTAACATGGTACGCTAACCGTTACAACATCGCCGCCGCTAAAAGAAAGAAAGAGAAAAAGAGAGAGAGAGAGAGAGAGAGAGAGAGAGAGAGTAAAAGAAAGAAAGAGAAAAAGAGAGAGAGAGAGAGTAAAAGAAAGAAAGAGAAAAAGAGAGTAGAGTAAAAGAAAGAGTGTAAGAGAAAGAGAAAAAGAAACAAAGAGAGTAAAAGAAAGAAAAAGAAAAGAAAGAAAGAGAAAAAGAAAGAGTAAAAGCAAGAGAAAAAGAGAGTAAAAGCAAGGGAGTAAAAGAAAGAGAAAAATAAAGAGATAAGAAAGTGTGTGTGCGCGTACGTGCATGCCGTACAAGAATTTCATCAGATGTGTGATAAACTCTGCTATCAAGGTGTAGAAATTTAAAGATGATTAAAACTACATTAAATTAAAAATACATTAAACATATAGACAACAATAAAACAAAAATTCAATGTAAGTAAAAAAAACCTTTTTCATACCCCCCACCCACCAACTGTGACTTGGTACTCCAGATGCAACTGCATGGTACCTATAGTATCCCCATCCACCTCAACGTGGCTTGTAGGCTCACATTTGTTGTGGTACATATTATAAGGAAAAGTCGTACTCCTGTGCTTATCATGCTTAGTCCTGTATAAGAAGAAGGAAGCTACGTAACACCTGTATAGTGCTGACACTGCTGGATGTAAGCCCTTTCATTGTACAATGGGTCTTATCCCCATTCACACAACTTATTGGGGAAGGAATTAAGGGTAAAATTTTAGGTTCAGGATGATGCATAGTGTGTTAGAAATGCACCCCATGCCACAACACGCATAGGAAATAACCCATAACTTGAAGGTAACAGGTTACTTGAGCACAAATACTCGAAGCCCGTGTGCCGCCCAGAAATGAAAGGTGGTTGGGAGAGCCCCATTGGCCACATCACAAATACAAGTAGTTATGCATGAGGCACAATTTCAACCTTGAATCCAAGATTGCTAAAGAGCACCTGCCTTGACAATCACTGCAACCCAGAACAGCTGTTGTAATAATAATAATTATTAAACATTGTTGAAAACCCTAATTTAGTACTACTTCTTTCTTCAATGAGAAGTTGCGGGTACTAGCAAACATTTTATCAAGTGTCACCTTGCATTGTGCAGTTGCAGTCATGAACTAGAAATCTAAACTGATATTAGTTATCTTACCTCCATAGGATTTACAGTAATAGTAAGGGCTGAGTCATCCCAAGCCATTTCGGTATCTGCTATCTCTTCCTGAGTAGCACGATGGTGAGCAGCACGAATACGTATCACACCAAGAATTATCATAAATAATAGAAACCCAACACAAACTACTATGATGATTGTCACAGCATGACCTGAAATGAGAAGACAAAACATATAGCACAACACTGTAAAATCAATGATATTTCAACAGTAAAATCAATTCAGAATCTTTACAAGAAAGACATTTCTATGAAGATGGGAATAGAAAAGCAGAGGGGACAGAATATTCTCACAAATAACTGATGCACAGAACAAGAGAATGACTTTAAAATGAACTTACTACCACCAGCCACTACACCTTGAGCATTGTCAAGGCCATTAGATATGTACACATCTCCCATTGTTTGAGCTGGTCTCAAGTCAGCATGATGTCGATCAACACGAGCATGTGCTGGAGATGGTTGTGATTGAGTGCCTTCAGAAACTACATGATGATCTCCAGATTTTTTGGCGTATGTGTCAACAGAACTGGTAACTGATGATGCTGTAGGTTGCACATTATCCATATTCTTTTTACTTGCAGGCAAGCGAGGGTGGATCACTGTAAGCTAGAAAGGCACAAAACCTTGCATAAGCAGTGGACTCTTAATTTGAAACAACAACATTTGTTCCCTTTGGACATATTATTTATGTTGATTTTAAAAATTTCAGTTAAATTTTCAAAAGGAGGGTCAAAATCCCAAAATTTGGAGAAATATTCATTTGACTGGATGAATGGTTCACCAATGCTTTTGAACATGAAAGAGAATTAAATAACATGACATTTACAGTAAAGTGTGGAGAGTACCACCATTTAACGATTGAAACAAAAGTTAAAGACTATTAAAGAACTATTTTCTTCGAAGATAAACCAAGGGCGTGATCATGTCTTGATTTTAATATTTGATCTACACCTTGATTTGCTATCTGTTCCCTCCTCCTCAGGTTTCTCATTCTCTCTTCCACCTTTCAATTTTTGTTTGTTCCATTCTCACCTTCAAACAGAAATCCATTCTGTGATCAACTTAATTTGGCCAGATTCTCTGATAAAATATGATATGTAATTTTCCATAGTATTATCATCTCTGTGTCCTCCAGTTGTATGTTCTTTGTTTCACTTCCTGTTACTCCTGTATAAACTTTTATCTATAATATTAATTTTCAATGCATGCAGAAATTTAATAGAAACTTTGCAGCCTCTGGCCACACGAGAGGAGGCTATCGTTTTGAGACCGAGCAACTCAGGACAAATCCAAAAACAATGAAACAGATTTGATTTGGATTGAAAAATTCAAATATTTAATTGTTTATTCAGCCTATTCTCATATTACATGTACCAACTTTTAGTATGTAAAAAAACTTTTACTGCATAAATACGGAGGTGGTCCCAGAAGTACCCGGCCTGACCTAGAGATCGCGGTAGTGTTTCGAAAAATATCACTGTATTAGAAAGTAGACAATCTATGAAGCATGTTTCAAGCTTGAAGACGCTACATTGCTTAGTATTTGTTTGGCAACAATCAATAATGAACGTTGTGAGTGAATTTGTAAAAATGGAGAAAATTGGTCATCGTTATGTGATCCAATACTGTCATTGGAAAGGCCTCAGCCCAACCAGTATAAAAACTGAACTAGATTCTACTCTGGGTGAGTCTGCGCCTTTGTTTACTACAGTAAAATATTGGGTAGCAGAGTTTAAACAATGCCGTACGAGCTGCCAAGACGAGCATCGCAGTGGTCGACCAAATGAGGTAACAACTCCAGAAATGGTAAAGAAAACCTACAAAGCGGAACTGGGTGATCGTCAACTGAAAGTGTGCAAGCTAGCAGACATAGTAGGCATTTCAGTAAGTGTGGTACATCACATATTATCTGAAAATTTAGATATGAGAAAGGTGTGTGCAAGATGGGTGCCGCGTTTGCTCACACTCGAGCAAAAACAGTGTCGTGAAGAGATATTTCAATAGTGTGTTTAGCGAAGTTTCACCGCAACAAAGCTGAATTTTTACACCGGTTCATAACCATGGATGAAACATGGGTCCACCACTTCACCCCCAAAGAGAAAACAACAATCAAAACAATGGACTGAAAAGGGAGAACGGGCACCAAAGAAGGCGATAACCGTTCCATCTGCAGGCAAGGTCATGGCGTCGGTTTTTTGAGATACGCGGGATAATTTTAATTGACTATCTTGAAAAAGGAAAAACTATCAACGGCGAGTATAATGCGAACTTATTGCAATGTTTGTGCGAAGAAATCAAGCAAAAACGGCCACACTTGGCTAAGAAGAAAGTGTTGTTTCATCAGGACAATGCACCAGCTCACAAATCCGTTATTGCAATGGCCAAAATTAATGAATTAAAATTTGATTTGCTACCTCATTTATTCGCCAGATTTAGCCTCCTCTGATTATTTTCTGTTCCCAAACTTGAAACAATGGCTCAGTGGTCAAAGATTTTTCCAACAATGAAGAAGTGATGTCGGTAGTTAATAGCTATTTTGAGGAGCAAGACCGTTCTTATTATTAAAAGGGTATCGAACTTATTAAACATCGCTGGGAAAAGTGTATAGAGCTCAAAGGAGATTATGTTGAAAAATAAACAATTTTTTTCCAAAATTTTTATTGTTTTCTTTGTTGGGACGGGTACTTCTGGGACCACCCTCGTATACTATCCTACATTATTGCAGTACTCGTGTTTTTGTTAAAATATTTAGTTTATTGCAGTGTTACGCGAGAGTATTTTATTTGGTATTCTTGAAGAGTGTGCATGCTATTTCTGGAAAACAATTTTGTGTGGTTTTGTTCAGTAGCATTTTTGCTGCTGGAGGTCACTAGTTGACCTTATTTTTCACACATATATTCTTATTTAGATTCCTTGTCACACATTTGTGGTACCATACTGGAAAGTTAAGGCAGTCAGCAACACACACACACACACACACACACACGCGCGCACACACACACAGTTAAATTCTGTAATAATGTGAAATAAACAAATTAGAGCAAACTAATAATGGTGTGTTGAATGCAATAAGTTGTTTAATCCATTTCTAAACATTATTTCATCTTGGGAGTTTATAACTTCTTGAGGTGGTGAATTCCATTCATCAACAACCTATTCGTTACTAATTACTCCTACTACCATCATTCCGTAGTAGCTGCAAGGCAGTAATACATTTATGTATTTTCAAATTACAGCTCAACTAATTTTTTTTCTTCTTTTTAAATTTCAGAGAGAACCATTTAAAAAATTATATCAATGAAGGTGGGCTCCAAAAACTTGCTTATTTCTGGGCTAGGTTAATTGAATTTTGTATAATTCTAACTTTTCCAAGTTCTTATAGTTTGAATTAGAAAGTCCTTGGTAATATTGTTGAGAAACATATGAATAAGTAGAATTGTTTTCCGTTCACACAAAACATTGCAACTAAGTGTTGATATCCTAGATTTTCAAATTCAACTACCGTTGTACCTGCTCATTAGGATAAGGCAGATAAAAATTCAATTCCAGTGATTTAAGCTACTTAGCATAATATTGTCACTATTTTACAAGTACTTATTTAAAATTTTAAATATTTACATTTTATCCCAAAGATTCCAACAGTCTTGTTTGATGAATCACTGCTATTATACCGACTTCCTTCTTAAAGTCTATATTATTACAAAACTTTTAATTATTCTGAACGATTCTAATTATCTCAAACTCTACATCATTTCAAGATCTCTGAACTTCTTTGCATTCTAATATGACCAAAACTTCTTACTATAATAATTACTACAATACTGAAATTTTTAACAAGAGCACAAACATCCTAAATATTCAAAACTGATATGCAAAAAAGAGAATATTGTATGATAAAATATTACTTACAGTTTGAATGTATTCATTGCTCATAAAGCGTCCATTCAATTCAGAACAAGTTAGCTTAAAAACTCTATTAAGATAATATGCTGGTTTCCTATTTGTATACTGTATCTGCCTCAAAACCTGCAATCAAGTAATTTATATTTACTCGTCCAGAACAAAACATAACAACATGAAAAATGGATCAAAGATTATAAGTAAAGCAGGTGTGCTGCTTTAACCCTTAACCACCTTAGTGTGGCCACAGTGACTATAGTAAGTTTGAAATCATTCTTTGCAAAGCAAAATATTTTTTTCTATAACTTCGTATTGTATGTCTGTTGCAAGCTATCCACGTTGACTGTTGGCTTCTAGTATTTGTAGTTCTTTTATTTAGGTGAATGAGAGTTCATTGCAGACACGGTGACCATATTATAGTCTTTGTGCAACTTTTCACAGTGAGTCTTTCACAATGAAATTGGAGGAAAGCACATCATAAGTGTTTGTATAACAAATTCAGACTTTGAGGAAGTTGTTCTGTAATGGCATGATGAATTTGTGATGAAGGCAGCATCCCTTTGTGATATAGTGACTGTGACAATGGCTCCAAAACACAAGTGTTACAGTCTTAAGTGTATTGAAGTTACTTATTGTAGTTCCTATATGTTTTGAAATCGTTCAAAGAGTGTATTTAAATCTCACAATATATTTATGGTTTCCATTTTCTTAATATTGCAGTCTTTCTTTTTTCATGTCGTAATTCAAAAGATGTGACAGTTTAAGAGATTTTTACATGATATATTTCTGATAAAATCAATGTAATTTTTCAGAGAACAATTAGGATGAGTTGTGATTATTCAAAGAGTAAGAAAGCAATATTATTATTCTTTCATTTTTTAAGAAATATTTAAATTGGGTTGTCATAGTGACTGTTCTACAGTCTCTATGATTTTTATAGCACAGTGGTGGTTAAGGGTTAAAAGGCACCATCCTTCAGATCAATTTATAAATACAAAAGGGTATTTACACTTCATGACAACTCGGCTGATGAAGCCACTATGACCAATTCCATTTTTCTACATCTCAAATTTTTGTAATAGTACTTTTGTTAACTTTAACATCAATACTTGAAAGTATTTGATACTTGAACTCTCCTATCTTCAAATCAGAGATTTGAAGGGTCTGAATTTCAAAATGAATACAAAAGCACTTTGAACTAGAGCATGCAATTTGTTTTATAATGTTAAAATTTAAGAACAACAGATTTGCTACAAATGAAACTGAAACGACTTTCTTAAAATCAATGAACCAAATTTTCTTGTTAATATAATACCATCTACAGCACACAAGTTAGAAGAAAGAATATACAAAATCTATTTAAGTATGTAAAGTAAAACCATTTTCTGTAGTAATACACCGTCAATAAGGTACTCACCTGTTCATAGTTGTAAATCATATCTGCTCCAGAAACCACAACACCATCTTTATTCACCTTTGCAACGATACCAAATTTTATTAACATACTTTCAGGTAGGGTAACCGTTTCATGGTCAGGATTGAGAGGAGGATACACTGACACAGTACATGAATCTAATTTCTTCTCAATGACACTAATTGGCTCACCTAAATGAAAGAAATTTAGTAGGTTATTTCAGTACAAGTTGCAAAATTTGGTAAATAACAAGAAAGAAAACATACGACTATTTTACAAAGGTCTGTCCTTATAGTAGTCAGACTGATTTTTCTCCAGACAGATGGGCAGACTGCCAGTGGTTTTTCTGCTAGGTGGCGGTGGTGGAAAGGGGCCTAAGGAAATGCTGGGAGCAAGCAGCAGTCAGCTCCCAGCTGTAGTCAAGTGTAGATCACTTGTCTCTTATTTCTGCGAGGGCACCCACCGCGCTTCATCATGGTTCACATTTTGGAACAGTTCTATGCCATCCAATATTGCGTTAAGCTCATCAAAACCAGGAAAGAGACTCATGATCCTATTAAGACAGATTACAGTGATAAAAGCCATGGGTAGATTGAGTGTTTTCAACTGACCCAAGCTTTTTTGGGAGGGGAGAGAGGAAGTTGAAGACGACAAACGTTGAGAATGACCTTCGAGCTCCAAAATTATGAAAATGTGGTAATACTGAAAAATTTCCTTGATCGGTAACCACAGAATTTAGTGGTTTGCATGATCAATGAACTTGGCATTGCCAAAACCCAAGTGAATGGAACCGTGAGTGAAAAATTGCAAATAAGGAAGATCTGCACAAAGTTGGTGTCATGAATGCTGAAAGGCGAGCAAAAGGAAGTTCCTGAATGAATCTGCAAGGACCTTCTTGACGAAGCGAAAGACAATTCAGACAGATAATACGATTACTGGGGATGAGACGAGACATGAACATTTGAGAAAAACTGAGACAAAACATCGAAGTGCGGAATGGCACACTCCAACATCCCCACACAACAGAAGGCATATATGAGCAAGTGGAAGGTTAAAAAACATGCCAATTTGCTTATTCCATTCAAAACGAGTGATCCACAGGGAATTTGGGTCACAAAGCCAAACCGTTAATGCAGGTTTTTACCTGGAGGTCCTTAAACAGCTGAGAAAATGCATTGTTTGTGTCCGCCCAGTCATTACCAACTCTTAGCGACTCCATCATGACAATGCACTGAGCCACACATGAGTGATGTACCTGGCCCAACACAATATTGCAACCCTGACTCATCCACCCTCCAGTCCTGATGCAGCCCAGAACCATTTCCTCTTCCCCCATCTCAAAACAACCCTGGTGCAACTGAAGAGAGACCATCATGGCTCGGTGAAAGTGTTACAACAAGGCATTATGAGGGTGTACAATAGCATTCTGGCTGCTGCCTTCCAGTAAGCATATGAGAGCTGGAAATCCTACTGGCAGCGGAGAATGCATACAGGAGGGTCCTACTTTGAAGAGTATTAAAAATAATGTTATGTAATTGATAAATGTTTTGTAATTGACTCAGTCTGACTATTTAAGGACCGACTTTGTAACTGCATATTTCATGTGTAATAAAGAGTTTGTGAAACTTATTTAAAGGAAAACAATTTCTACATAGGAAGACAAATCCAAATGAAATTTTACCATGCTTCCACTGTTTTTGTCCTTTAACTTGACCAACAGTAATATGTACATCAGTAAAAACCCTCACTCCTAAGCGAAAATCATCATATTCTCGGGCCACGTTTCCTGTGCCATTGATGTCTATTGTCGGCTGCTGGGGTTGCAAAACCATTATATAACTTTCCACACTAGGTACTTTAACTGGACGGCCTCTTTCACATCTATAAACATATAAAAAAAGGAAATATTATTAATACCTACAATAATGACTTCATAAGAAATAAATATAATTATCAAAAAATTTGCTCCTCTATGAAATGAAAAATATTCAATTACCATTTCAATTAACAAAACAAAAAACAGACTATGTATGTCCAGTAAATTAATTAAATCATTTGGTGATAACTCCTGTGAATATAAGAACTTTTTATCATTAATTCATTCACTGACACCTGTAAATTTTAAAAACATTTTTAGAAGAACTTTTTTTCTCTCTCATTTGCAATTTTGTTTTACTATCCCATAAATTTAACAAATACATCACACAAATAAGAAAAGCTCCAATTTTTTAATGCCCATGTTGTAACAGTCAGATTGCTTGCCCTTCATCGTTGGGATCAGGGCGAAATTCTTGGTCAATCCTTGTGGAATTTGGGGATGTCAAAGCAGTTTTATGGCAGGTTTTATAAGGGTTAATTTCCCCTGACTCTCCTTCCACCATTGCTCCATCACTCATCACCAACATCAATTGATCTTGCTTATCCTTGGATAGTCCAAAAGTCATTGGTACAGGAATCAGAATATAGTAGTAGCAGCAGTAGCATTGTAATTGTGGTTCATTATCAATTTATTTTTCAGGCTGCAGTTACAAACCCAGAGTAACTCAGTTTAATCAGTTTAATAGTCATGGAATTTTCCTTTGTGTAATAACAAATGCCATAGTTTCACCACACACTAGTACAGACTAGTAACACCCAGTATAAATAAATACTAGAAGTGATGTTCATTTGGTAATAATTTCATAATTTCAGTAGTGTATGATGAAAGTTACTGTAGCATGTGACAAACACATAATATTTATAAGTTGTATTGTGCTGAGAAAAGTTGTTCAGGTCAACTGTTGATAAGCTGACAGAATAATTTGATCATCCTGATGTCCATGTTATCGCCATTCTTTATTTGTTTTCTCTTTTGCTTCATATTCACCTTTGAATTCCTTTGGTCTTTAGTTTCACTTCTTCTAACCCAGTGCTCAGCCTCTGTATTATTGTTATTTTTGAAGGTGTTTGGGGTTTATTTACTTTCACTCCAGTCTGATATCTGAATTTTCTTGTCAGTTTCTTAAATTTTCAGTTTACTTTCACTTCCTCTTAGAGTTTTTTTTTTATAATGTTCATTCAAATGAGATGAGATGTTCCTTCAAAATAACCAGAACAATCCTGTGCATATCTACTTAAAAATGCAGAGAAACACCAGTGATTTGGAAGATACAAATGATCCAAAAAGCCAAACACAACAATCTGAAAGAAGCACTTACGTTACAGTAGTAGAGAGGTGCAAATTACGTCTTCCTGCTGTAGGAAACTGACGAGTATTCATGTAGCCAACTTTTCTGATAAGAGTTACAAGATTGGTTTTATTGTCCCCTTCAATGCTAAGTTCAGTGAGATCTGTAAAAAATAAATAAAGCTGAAAAATCATTTTTTCTATATTACTAAGTGTCAATGCGTGCAGAAATTGAAAGAAAACTATGCAGCTTCCCCCATGTGAGAAGCGTCTATGGTTTTGTTAGGTACCCAAAAATTGGGAAAAATTCAAATACAATGAAAGTGTCAGTACTGGCCTAAAAATACAAATATTTGATTGTGATATTCTGTTAATTCTCATACTACATGTACCATCATGTACCTACTACCGGTACCTACATGTACCGATATCAAAAATATCAAAAACGTTCCTATGTGTAACTGTGGCATGTATTCTGTTTTACATTATTAAAGGTTATATACGTATTCATGGAATATGGACAATGGAATATTTTTTGTTAAAATATTCCATTTTTTGCAGTATTATATAAGGGTATTTTATTTGTTGTTCTGAAGCAGTGTGCTACTCTTTGGAAAACAATTTTGTGTGATTTTGTTTAGCTGCTGCACGCCACTAGTACACAATATTTTTGAAATACAATGCCAGCCTACACTGTTCAATAGCTTGATTTAATCTGTACCATTTGCATTCTTTAAGATTTCAAACTTTATTTATAATGTTCCTCTAAACATAAAGCATTGAAAGACAACTTGACAAGACAAAAAGACAACTTGCATTTCACTTGAGTAGCTGAAATTTGACAATATGAAAAGTACAATACAAATCATAACAGTTAGCAAGTCCTATAAAAAAACAGATTAAGAGTATTTGGTTCCTGAATTACAAGCAACCACTTCATACTTAAAATGGAACATTTTTCTGATGTAAATTAAAGATAGTTTACCACTGTTAGTAAGAAGCTCCATTCCTGGTTCCAGAAGCTCCATAGCTGGAACTTCTAAACTTTCTTTGCATTTGTGAAGGCAGCTAAGCACTTCTGGTTTTTCAGTCTTGTGAAGTAAAACTGAAAGGCCAGCCAAATAACCTCGGAAATGGTGTCTCATTTTGTTATCAGATCCTGCGAAGATTAATCAAAGAGATGTACAATTCAATAAAATTCCAGAAAAAGGATAAGTTTTTAACATGAAATTATCACTTGGACCAGGGGTTCCCAAAGGGGATGATAGTGACCCCTTGATGGTCAATAAAATTTGAAAGAGGATCAATGAAGTTTGAGAGGTAGATAGGGGTCAGTAGCTGAAAATTAACTAGGGACTAATTGATATAAGATCAGCATCCCTTTGCTTTGAAAAAATATAAATGAAGTTGATTATTAGTGGTTTTCTGATATAAAGATACAAAACGTCTATTAGGATATTACTAATTCACTCCTCTTTTTTCATATCATCATTCACCACTACTTTGCAAAACATTTGTAAACAGGATTTTTTTTTTCTTACAGAAAGCAATTGCAATTAATTACTGAAACTCCAATGAGCATTGAACATGTACAAGTATAAACAACTGCATACTAACTTAGCAAATTTGCTATATAAAGAGATAACAATTTAGACACACAATTTAGCGCGCTCATGTTCATCTCTTCATATAACATTTAAACAAGTGTAAGCTCAATTCTGACTCATACCAATAAAATAATACTAGTATTTTGAAAATTACATAATCTTTTCATGAAAATCTGAATCCACCCATGTAAATGTATAAAATGAAAAGTAGGGTGTTTAGAAAGATACAACTTTTTTAATTCAATGTCTTTTTTAATTTGATTAATTTTATAAATTAAGAATTAATGAATATTCCAAATTACAAAATATGATGGTTTCCATGGACCTGGCAATACTATAACCAAAATTTATACCAGTTAAGGGAAAAGGAAAAAGAGCTGATCCTTTTTCTTAGAAATTAATTCTAAAAATTTATTTAGAAGGAAATCTGTCCTTAAACAGGGAATAATTATTTTAACAAATTCTAGGTGTGCGTTAAAAAATTACACTGTACAAAGTTTTTTACTGTATAGGAGGGATAGGGAGTTAGGCATTGGAAACAAGTAGTAAATTATTTATTTTGAGAGAACATTTTACTTCATTACACTTAGGGGTTCTTTTTAGTCTTACTCAGCTACACTCCTTGTTAAACATAGTTGACAACAAATAAAAGTGTTCACAAATTGCAATTTGTATGAAATTTGTATTTACAATGTAAAAATTTTAACTTATTATTTTATGTTTTCCCGATGTTAAAAATTGTATACAATAAAGGAGGATATTATACCTCCTCATTTGAAAGACTAAAATACTTATGTAAATTAAAATAAACAAACCTTGCCAACACGCTCCCACAGTAAGAGTGGTATTAATTCCCTTTGTGGGATGGAGAGGCCAATCATCAATAATTTCAGGATTCTTCTTTTCAGCTTTAAATAACTGGCCATCAATATACAATATAACCTCAGGAAATTTGACAGAAACTGCATAATGATGCCATTCGTTATCGCAAACCTTCACACACACAAAAAACAAATTTTGAATAATTCTAATTACATGAGCAATAAGTAAATAACATGTTTTGATGCACAAAAGTAATTTCAATTGGAACTAACTTGTGGTAATTTCCATCGCCATTCAGCTGGTCTAAATATATTTAAATCACCTTCTGAGAAGTCTCTTCGCAAAAGAAGTATTAAACGACAGTTTCGTACAAATAAAGCATAGTGGTGTCGATTCATTTCTGGAAATACAGTAAGTTCATTGTGTTATACAATTGCATCCAGAATCAATAAAATATTCATTAATAATGAAAAAAAATTATAAAATAGCTTAACATTGAACTTTTTAGGTGTAGTTACAGTAAATGTATTATTCACTTACTATGATCATCAGCAGAGCAAAGAATGTGTTCCTTAACATGTTTATCCTGGTCAGGATTTTGTTTATGTTTCATCCATGTTGCAATAGTGAAAGTGGTAGCCAGGTTATGGTCCAAAACATCAGATGGTATAGCCACTGCTGAACTTTCTCCATCAAATTCAAAAATTTGATCTGATTCATGTCCTTCGTCAGTTGGAAGAGACTTAGTCCACTCTGAACCAATGCCAGGACTGGGTAGAAGATCAACACTATCCATACTTGCACCTAAAACAGAAGGAGAAATTTTGCATTAGAAATAGCATCCTCACAAAAAGAAAAATAATAAAAAAAAGATTTCTGTATGAATTAAATAGTTTTTCATGTTCTGAAGAATGATCAAACGCCAAAACAAAAACAAAGAATGCAGAAATAATATTTCACATGAGAATTACAAAACTGGCAAATCAATCAACTTGTATTTACTACTTTCGCAGATGCTAGGATATAATGTTTTTTGTTCATCTGTCATCAGATGTCCCTAAACAAATCTCCCTTTCTTTGTGAATTGTTGTTTAGTCAGAAATAATTTGATAACAGAAATGCAAATGACCATTATGAAATGCAATGAACTAATAGTGGAGGTCTGTTACACTCTTAAACATCACATTAACCTGAAAAATTAAAATATATGCTTCATGCTAGACTCGAACCAGCAATTCTTGATTTTAGAGAGGCAGCTGTAATGGTATTTTGATAGTATGTAAAGCATACGTTTTCAGAAATTACAGCAACAACATTTTCAACTAACTGCTATAATATAGATATTAGTAAGTCTCTGATATTATTGGACTGAGCTTCAAACATTGTGTAAGTTGCAGAGTCAATTCAATTGCAGACAAAATATAAATTTTTGTACACCATTTTACATTTAATGAATTCATTAATGGGAAGTCTGCAATTAGAGGATAATATCGAATCATTCAATGTAGTAGCCTAAGAAATGAAAAACAAAAAGTAAAAATAGAACAACACTGCATTTTACAAATCTAATCAGTTCCTGGTTCACTCGCTTCCATCATGTTTAATAAACTTAGAGTAAAAATAAGAAATAAAGAACATTCCATTTAAATACACAAAGTTTGACAACACAGTTATATTCAAATGAGAAAAAATAATCATTTTCCCCTTATCACAAATTCTTACCCTATTCACAAAGCCAGCGGCTATGTAGAAAATGTGACACGTTAACATGAGGTAAATGTTAAAAGGTCACATATGTGCAAGAAAGGGTCATAACATGTCACACCATGATTAATTGACTGATTATTTGGTGTTTCCCAACATGGCAACTACTATGGTCATTTGTCACGTAAGTAAATACATGTTATATCCCAGGAGGTGCAGATGTTCCTTCCCCACTAGAACTCGAGACCTGGTTGCAACCTAAATGTTGGCTTGCAAAGTTTCCCTCAGCCAGGAATCTCTGCCTCACTCCAGACAGGCTGTGTTCCTGTATGTGAGGTAGTGCAGGGCAAGTAAGGGCAAGTGCAAGTGCGTGTGTGTGCGTGCGTGCACGTGTGTGTGTGCTTGAAGTGAGAGGGCAGAACATGGATGTGGAAGGAAAGATGCGGTTTGTGGCCCATTAGTAAAGGTATTGCTTCTGTAGTAATTAGAGAAATCATGGAAAACTAGTGATCAGAGCAGTCGACTTCTATAATTTTCCTCTAGACAGAGCCTACAGAGTTTTCAATGTCTGAATCAAGCAATTCTACCCAACTGTCTAGCTACCGTCAAAATCCAACACCAGTGAGACTCAAACCCTAGGAATGCAGTCAGTGATACTGCAGATGCAGCAACAGGGCCTTCAGTGATTTATTTCATCTTTTATCGGCCTAATTTTAGAAAACTACTAGATTAAGAATATCTAGTTTCATTTTCTCATCCCATTTCCTATTAACTTTCTATATTTCCCCCAAACAAATTCACTTTATTGTAAATACAAACACTATTACATACAGTATTTTGCTTCTCAGATAAAGGGCCTCCAAGGCTTGGCACATAATGGATAAACAATGGAAATATCCCTCTCAGTAAACCTTAATGAACAAACGAAAGAAATAAAATTGTTTCCCTCCGAATATTTGAAAAAGAGCAAAATTTAATAAATTTAAATGTTTTCTTTTTAAAATTAAAATAATTATAATTAAATAATTTCTTTTTAAATCCTAATGAGAAAAGAAAAGTGGTAGAAAACATTACAAGCAACAGACAGAAGTCTAGAAAACGTTTATTGCAATATTTGAGAAAAAATAATATTGTCAAAAGCGATTGAACTATTATAAAAAGCAAAAAGTAAAATTGTAACAGGAATTAATAATTCAAGACATATTGGCAAGGCACATTTGAAAATTATATCCCAGTATAAAACAATCACAGCAGACACTGCATGATGTGTGTACATAATCATATACAAAGCAAGTCTATTCAAGTAGAAAGAGAATAGAAGACGAGAAAAATATGTTAGCTTAATTCCTTCAATGTTTTGTTCCAGGAAGCATAAATTCCATTATTTTCCCTTTCAATTTTGTCACCTGTATGTCGGTACACAAGAATTCATTCGCATACTCACAAGTACCTTACCGAAACTTTGTGAGCATTTAAGAGACTCTAGCGTCGATGTAAACTTGGAGGTCATCTGTGAAAAGCCTGTGCACTGCAATTTTCACGGCCGCGTGGAAGTTCAGATGCGATCGCGCGCAATACAGAGTGGTCATAAAATGCAACACAATTCAGACAAATCACAAACTTACATTTTTCATAGTAAGTATCCCTCCCCCCCCAAAAAAAACTAAATTTGGAAATTAGAAAGAAATATCAGCAAAGATATTCAGAGTTGTTTGGACGCTTGTGAGATGTGGTTGTGGCAAAGGTTTCCTAAACATAAAAAATTCTAATAATGCAATTTTAGAAGAACAAAAAGAAAGAAAGGAGAAAAAGAAAGGAATGAGAAGATATCTCATCTCAAAAACATTGGGACAGGAAAATAAGCAAAATTCTTTGGAAATATTTTCAGACATAACCAATTCTTAAGCACAATTTGGGACTGTAAAATAGTTTGAAAAAGAGGGAAGGGGACATAATGCAAAATTTTAGAACTTCAAAACTAACTACGCTTCAGAAAATACACAGAGATGAAGAGGACAGCGGAGGACAGAATGTCATGGTGGCATTGTAAAGGCACTTTTTTTGCCTTTAGGATGATGACCCCCCCAAAAAATTATTCTTCGACAATACTTAGATATATTGTCAGCCACTAGCGGATCCAAGGGAGGCCCTGGGGGCCATGCCCTCTCTCCAAAGACCTACCCTACTTCCGAATGATCACTTGATCCGCCCGTCCTCAGCGCAACTCTTTAAATCTTGTAATAAGGTTATTCAACATAAAATGCACAGGAAATGGGATACTTGGAGAAACCGATTTTTAGTCACTTATGACCTCTATTTTGGAACATACGCCATATCAATTCAAATCTTTCACCCCTTTTATACAGGACTTGGCAAAAATTCAGCTCAAGGGGATTGTTACGCGGGACTATCCTGCGCAGCACAGCTACAGCAGATGTTCGTTCAACAAGGAGTTGAGTGAAATCCGTCTAAAGCACTCACTAATGTTTCCGGCAGAAATTGACAGTTTAACAAGGAGGCTCAAGTAAGGTTAAGAGTTTACACGGAAGTGTAAATCAGGTATAACCATGATACTCTCTAAAAGAAAATAAATTTTTGGTAAAATTTCAATTACCCTAAACTACAAACTGCAATTTACACAACAGCTATACTTGCATTACACAATACAGGCAAGTCTGTTATTACCTGGATTTTACTTTGCTTTTCAAAAATTTAGATAATGTCAGTAGGTTTCCTGGCTGCAACTTTCCTCAATTTCCAAGATCACATGCCTTCTCTCAGCTAATGTCAAATATCCATGACCTTGTGAAACGCACTTCCCCCCTCCTCCCGCCTCCAAACTGAACACACAAGCAAACTAAAGACTTCAAAATGCAATTATCCTTCTGTAGGCAAAGATTGTTTTGCGAAGTAGAATCTGCACACATTTTCTTGAGCTCCAGAATCTCTTCCTCACCCTTCAACCATAAATAGTTGAATGATAATTACAAGAACAGAGAAAGCAATGTTAGCTACATTAAAAAAGTAAATAATAATAATAATAATAATAATAATAATAATAATAATAATAAAAATAATGTTTTTAAATATTTCTAACAACAATAGCTCCCACCCTGGCACTACTACCACCACTACAACTAGCAAAAGAAGAGCTCAACAGGACTTGCGCACAGTGAAGCTACACATAAATAATGGAATCGTCACAGATATTACGAGAAAGTATGTTTTTGCACAGCTGTTTCTAATTGTTAATTGTAATATAAAACGATTTATTTAAAACAATTAAAAAAATAATAATCAACTTCTCAGTTTTAGTGAATTTAAACACTTGAAATATCTTTTAGAAACAATAAAATTTCAATGTCTGGATTAACAAATGACTGCAATTTTTGTGATGCGAGGTGCGCTTAATGACACTGATAACATTTGTGAATTGAATGAAGGGCTTAAAATCTTTATAACTTGATTAAGTTATTTGTATAAACTGATATTTCATTGAAAATTTTATTATTTTAAGTAAGGAAACTATGAAGAAATATTTTAATTATCAACATAAAGGTGATATTGTGAAAGTAAAGTGCCTGCTACAATGAAGCTGATGCACTCTCGAAGTAGACCATTTTCTATTCCACTATTAAGTATTCTTGAAATGATTCTGGGGAAAATTGGCAATTGCAGCTTAAGATTGGCAGTTATCACCCCCATTCTTTTTCAATGCATCAACAGCAAGCAGGGCTTTCAGAAACTCTGTTTCTGTGGCACGCAGATGTGTCACGTGATGGAGATAATGTTGAGTCTTCCAAATGAAGAAAAAGGAAGAAAAACTGAACTGAATGAGCTACATTAACTAATTTTACATTTATCTCGACAAACTGATCAGCAGAATTAGAATGTCTGCAAGAAGTGCACAGGGACTGAGGACATCCGTACTGTGGGACGAGACGAGAAGCATATTGGCATAGAGTCTCAAAAATATTGGAATGAAGGGAACTTACAGAAAAAAATCATAAAGAGATATGTATTATATATCATCAAATTAAGTATAAGTAAAAATGTTACAATTATACACCTTACAAAACAAATAAAATTATTATTTTGTA